CCATTTTTACTTAATTCAGTCATACGCTTAGTTCTAACTTCGTGGCCGTCCATATATTACGTCATTCTAAATTAGGGGTGGTTGGTTGGTCTGCGGATGACGGTAAATGATAGATAGGGGGGGGGGGTGTTTCGAAATTGACGTCATTCTTATTTATTTATAGTCATTGTTCACGTACAAGAAGATTATTTCTAAAAAGAAATTTCTTCCAGCACACCTAGTAAGTGAGACTGCAAATGTGAGAGGCGGCTAAGGCGTGTACAATACTAAAATAACTCAAAATAAACATACAAGTAAAATTAATAAAGGTGATTCTATAACCAAGTGTTTTAATCATATAATACCCTATTTTTCTCAAATCTGCAATGTTTTAATTTCATCAAACTGGTAATGACGTCAATTTTAGGAGAAGGGGGGATGTCATTAAAAAATGACGATAGGATAATTGTAGGGGGGGAGGTCTAAAGTCTGAAAAAATCGATGACGTAATTTATGGACGGCCCCTTACGTGTATTTGTAGGTAAGTAAAATTTTAACTGTCAGTAAAAGTCAACATTAATATTGTCAGAACAAAGCATCTGTAGTGGGCTATAAAACGGCTTTAGGGAATGAGGCAAATTCTGTAGAAAGTTATTCATTATTAATAATGGAGACTAAGAGAAGAATAAGGATGAAGTAGTGAAATCATATTTCTTTATTGCCTACCAAAATAGAATATCGTTTTTTTCGATAAACTTTAATACGACATAGTGTTTGTCTCTAGACGCCGGCAAATAATCGAATTATTTACTTTTGTCAAGATTGAAAAATGTTATGATTTTTATTAGTTTCGTTATATTATTAAACATGTCGGCTTGAGCTAGCACGATATCAGAATTACTACTACACGAGATCACATGTGGGCGGCCATGGGTAAAGTCGGATGCCATGAATACATTCACAATACTACTCAGTCAGGATGTATGTTCTCGCAGCGATCCCTATTTTCAGAATAATCCAAGTTCTCACGAAAGTCGCTTGGCGGCGCTCGTGTTCTAATTATGACTTAAATTCAAATTGATTTCTTCTTCTGATTGCGACATACATTTTTTGTGTTTAGTTGAATTGTCGACACTAAAGCATGGTTTATTACTACATTAGTTTAGAGAAAGTTTTTAATTCCATAGTATAAAGAACAAAAACTACAAGATACTCGCATCAGTTTACCGTCACGAAGCATTTAATAAGCCATTGAGAAGTAAGCTAACTATATTATTAAAATTCAAAAAGTTCTAACACTCCCTGAGTTATAAGACATATAATTAGAAATTATAGAATACCATTTGTAAAGACATATACCATACTAAACATTTCATTATATTCGAAAAGACTAGAGTTTTTATAATAACATTTAATTTCAAAGACCAAATTACTTCTGTTGCTTAAGAAATGTACCAGTTTCCTACTCTTTTTAAATCGGTCTATCGACGTATTTTATCGAAAGACACGCAATGAAGGAATTAAAATCATATTAATAAAATGAAAAAAAAAAAAAACGTTTTCACATGTATAGCTTCACGTATTGTTTGCACAATAAAATTAAAATGTTATAGATTTGACCAATTCATATATCTTTAATTTCTTAATTTTACATATAATATATTTTACATGATTTAGATTTGACCTATCGTTTCACCGTCCCTCATCAGCTTCCATTTACTCGCGCCGCATTTATTCTTTAATGCAATCGTTCTAGTTACATTGCGTTCTAAATAGGAATTTATTCAAAGGAAAACCATCAAATTCATACAAAATTTAGTTTGATTATACTGCAACACTAAATAATGTTAGCGGACGAAATGGAAAAATTAAATAAAGTTACTTTGTTAAAATTAGGTCAACACGAATCTAAGTTACAAGCTCAAGAAAGTTATACTCGTAAGTATAACTTAATGAATTCATCTTTAAAAAAATCTTTCATAGAAATTTTCCTTAAGTTAGTAGTCACATTAATATTATAATGATATTAAAATAGGGCAGGTTGAGAAAACTTCACTTTTTTTATTCAAATATGTACAGTCGCAGATTTCTCCGGTTTCCACTTACAAAAGTATTACCGTATTTCTTGAATCGAAATAAACTTCGCTTCTTTGTAAAAATTACCAATTACGTAGCAGTGAGTTGCGCATGGGATAGAAACAAGATTAAATAAGCCGTGTATTACTAAAAATACTTTTTTTCTATACTCATTCAAAAGATTATAGTTCCGCGTCGTCTACTCAAAATGTTCAAGTGATTTAGCTTTTAAGGTGGAACACCGCCAAACTTACCGGCTGTAAATACTTCAATTCTCGCTATAAAGTATAGCGATACGTAAACGTAAGTAAAGCCCGCACAAACTTTTGTGTGTATGTATTTATTACGCCGGAAAAACTAATCTCACAAAACTCGAGTACTTACCGATTAACATTTCCTATAGATCATGGACATGCCGCGACCAACACCTTTGATTTTATCTACTCATTTTCTTTTGATACAAGGCTACGATTGCAACTGTGCGTTATTATTTTATGATTTTTAATGGAAAGGTTGAAATAGAAAGGGATTGGCTCGAGACGTGCCAAATGTTACTGTAGAGGTATGGAAAAGATTAGTTGGATGACAATGTTAATCAGGAAATGCTAGATAGAGTAAAAGATAAGCGAATTGGCAAAAAGATTGGCAGGTTATGGTTTTGATTATGTGACTAACAGGAACTACTCTACTCTTCACTTTCCGCGACTTTGATAATTGAGCGGGATCAAGAACTAAAGCTAAACATTATATCATTGATAATCGGTGAACGGCGAGCGGTCGGCCAGTGGACGACGTGCTATCTACATGCGATTAACCCCACCGCAGTTAAGCCAGGACCTCGCGCCGTCTACCTATGCAAGCGTGAATATCGTATCACAACTTTATAACTTTATCCCATTTAATCGGTGTCGTCGAGGCGACGTCAAGTGAACGAAGCAAACCCTTGATCAATGTTCTGTAATATAAATTAATGCTTGTGTTTTAATAATTCTTAATTGTAAGTCTAAAGTATTATTGGATGTAAAAATAACGTTAACTATAGGACACAAAACACTTTTCTGTTGCAGCGTTGCAGCAACATTTACAAATTTATATAAGCACATACTCTTAAGCGTGACACTGTCAACTCTTGAAGCAATTAACTTATTTCATTCCATGAATACAGATGAGGCTCTTAAAATCCCTTGCTGCAATCGCAATGCTAAATTACTGCTAAACTTGTTTCGTCATTTAATTAATTAAACGTAATCCAAAAAAATATTACCTACACATTTTTTATGGCTCGTAATATGTAAAATTACTTACATTTGACAATAATTTAATTTCGATCAAGTTAAACAAAATCTTATAGGTTATATTTATTTATTGAACCATTATTAACGATTGGTCCAATTAACGTTGTTAAGGCTCCTTCAAAAGGAGAGAGTTTTTCGCACGTTTCGGTCACTCGTAGACAATTTTTACGAACAGTAATCCTCATCGTTTATCGTATCGAAATGTTTACATGCCAGGCACGAATTAAATTTTCATTTTCAATTATGTCATACGAGATTCAATATCATTAATGGCTAGATAAATTCATCCGTAACACGTAACATTCCACAGCGAAATTTAACTAACGAGTTACTTTGATGTACAAACACACCAACGAACAGATTGGTTTAAACCGTTTTGAATGCAAGATGTTTTACCTGAGTTTGAAATTTAAAATTTTGTTTACTCGCACACAATCATAGATGGATGGTCGAATGTTTGTTAGAGTTTGTAGCCTAACAGGCTAAACGGATCTCGAGGAAATTTGGCATAGAGGATAGTCGGAAATAACAAATAGCCTACTTACTTCTATTTTATTTAATTCTCGCGAAAAGAGTCGCGGGCGAAAACTAATAATATTATAAATACGAAATTTCAGATGGATGGATGTTAGGGTTTGTCACCTAAACTATTGAAGGCATATTGATGAAATTTGGCATTTATGTAGTGCATAGTTTAGAAGAACACGTAGGACACTTTAGTCTTTTACATTAATACATTATTGTTGATTGCTAAATGTTGAGCTTCGTCGTAAACAAATACTACTCACCAACGCCCACCGTGCGATCACTATTCCTATGTCTAAACTATTAGGATACATTTTATTTCCGGCGTCGACGTCGTCTTCGTCGTTTCATCCTCGATGATTGTTTAATAGTCTATTAGAAAGTGTTTTCCTGTCAAAACATGCATAAAACTATAATTCGTATTTCATGTGCTACTATTTTTATGTTCTTACTATAAAAGTGCTACACGCCGTGTGAACGTATCTCTTGGTTATTTCGTATTAAAGCCATGAGGGCCAATCCCTCAGATAATCCTTGCCCAATAAATTTCCATAACCTGACTAGATCAACGATTCATTTTCTACGCTGTGTCATCCTACACTTTCCATAAATAACATTGACTTGTTCGTTTTTATTCTCATATCCTCCCATTAACTACTTGTTGGTTTCTTTAACACAATCTTCCTTAGGTTGTCAGTTCAAATATCTGAACTTTCTTGGTCCCAGAGTGGAAATAGGGCGATCTAAACCGTGGTAGTACCCGCTTTAATATCGTCCCACGAAAGGGCCTGCCCCCTCGGTGCAGTACCATAACCACACAGAAGATAGGCGTGAAGTGGAAGCTATTCCTCGTTTCGTCTGATCAGTGTGCGTGCCGGAGACCTCATTTTAGTCCTTTTCCCTTTCCACCCTTATCTTATATGGAAAAAATGGAAAGGGAAAGCGGATTTAACGGTGATTTATACGCATTTGCAGATGCGGATGTATATGGACAGCGGTCGCTTGGTCATTTTGGCATATTCTGGTGGTCGCATGCTTGTTTGCCGCCTTTTGCTATAAACAAATCTTTACTTACTGGGATTTAAAGTTATCATTGGAAGGAAGATTAAAAATAAAACAAAATTGCAAAACAGAAAATATTATGGCAGTGTTTAAAATACATTTTGTACTTTACAGGTTAGTTTGGACATATTGATAGTAATGTTTTATTGGTACTCGACTAGCGAATAATCTAAAATTGTCAACTACAGTGCGCATTAATGCAACAACAATTTCGTTAGCCAGGTGGTCCAGTAAAGATTGATTCGTTTGTAATACTAGCTCAATGATTCTCGTATCTTCAGTATCTGAAACCAAAATATATTTTTTAGACAAAGTAATACAATAAAAAAATAATAACAAGCTCAAAAAACGTTTTCATCTTTCGCTGACTCCTAAATTAGCTTTATCTTCGTGCAAAATTAATGTACGAAAGCGACTGAGCACCTGAAATCTGCTGAGGGTGATTAGGCAAAAGTGTAATAAGCCGTTTCTCACTATCGGTGACAGATCCGAAATGATAAATGGCGGACTACTGTGGCGTACTCTGTCGACGACGGAGCCAGGAAAAATAGAAAGTTGTTTTTTCGGGGATTAGTTATTACCTTTAACAGACTGGAAGCCATTAGTGACTAAGCGTGATTGTGAGTGTGCGGAAAATAATGGCTTTTCTCTAACAATAGATAAGTACTGAGATTAATTACGAATGTAGAGATCTGTAGAATGGTTAAATTTAGTTAAAAGTCATTTAATACGCCTCAACAGTTTTACCAGACCCTAGTTTACTTAGGAACTAGTTATACAAAGAATGTTAAAAACGAGTTATACGACAAATGATTTTTATTTCCTTTTCTTTTATCGGCTAAGGATTTTTTAAAATAGAATTTATAATTTTTGTGCCTGTGCAAATACACTAAGACACTATCACCACGGATTTGGTTATGTTTTACTCAATCTACCACTTGTTTTATTAAATCGCGGGAACATAAAATGAATGTAGATAAAGAGACTTTATAACTTCGATAGTGAATGATAGCCCCAGCAGAGTGTGCTCTCGACAAATGTTATTGATTTATTGATTTGATGATTTGATTGCCGATTTATTGAAACCCTCCATACATTTATCTACCGTACATAAATGCATGCATTTTTAAGGATTGCCCTAGGCCCCTAAGCATACATATAACAACCCAATAGTAGATATTACGATACATAGTAGTGTTAAAATATAAACGGAACAAGAGTTTGTAGTTGCAGTTATTTTAGTAGTCGATGGGACTCAAGATACGAGGTAGTTTAATATCAATGCGGTACAAGTTATTTATAAATTAGCAAATGATAAAATTGTACCATGAATTTTATTTTGCAGTTTAATAAAAATCTAGTTTTTGTGTGTTTAATGTTTGTCAAACGTTTTGTCATCCTCAGGGACTTAATCAATAGCGTCTGGCTGAATTAACATCCGGACTTGATTGATTACATTTTCTAAGCTGCGGTGCGTGTGTGGAAGCGATTTTAAATTTTCGGAGAATTTAGTTTTTAATTATATGAAGTAGATATGTTTAAATATGTTTATTTTAATCTTTAAATATTGCAGACCCAATGTCAAGAAGCAATATTGTAAATAATGTTAATAAGGTCTACAAAAACGTTGCAAGTAATTCAGAGTTATTTTATAAAACATGTACTATAAGTCATTATTGTATTTGTAAGTGTCTGCGCCATCGCTCGCTATCATTACAATAAGTATAAATGCGAACATATTTTTGATTCCATAAAATTATATGTTAAAGTTTATATCAAAATAATGGCGACATCTATTACCTGTTTGGCATACTTAATCATGTCTTGTCTTTGTCTATTAAGAAAATAAAACTTAGTCCATGGCCAACCTCAAGCGTGTTTCATTATTATAAACAGATCCAAATGATCTTTTTCATATACTTAAGTCTATGTTTATAGTTTGCAACATGTACATTTGTGTAGGTTTTATTATTAAAAAATATACACCTACACATGGACTGAAAAATATAGAAAAAGCATAAAAAACGAATTTTGAGCTTGGAAAGGTGTAGCTAAGAAGATTAACGTTCTATAAAATTCATACGAATACTTTATCTTTTTTAATTCTTGTTCATTTGTAGTTTGTGACTAAATAATGCTTGACCTAAAATTGATAAACGGATTTACAACATTTTCATTTTTAACGCTCCTCTACTCGTATGTGCAGAGATTATGCCAACGGGACGCGCTTTTAAGAACATATGTACGTGAATAAAACAGTACCGCATCAAGCTCAGAACTTAGACATTTCGCTCTTTAAATTGAACCGTGATATGTCACCGATCGGCCTATCTAGTTATGTATCTTCGCCCTACTTTCAAATCTCTCATCTCCGCGCTTATAACAATTGTGGCACATGGACACAAGAGTGATGCTCTCTTATATCCCTACTGCATCGTCTATGCCTCTTATTATATTGAAACTGTTCTTGTATGAAACTAGCATTTAGTGCTCATAAATAAAAACTGACAAATATAAGGGAGCTCGTTATTCGTGGAAAAGATTTCTTTATAGTAATAACAAGTTAAAAATAAAACTGGATCCTCAGATGTCATTTATTTTACAATGAGTTAAATTGCTCGTCGGAACGTTATTTACAGGGCAGACGACTGTGGAAATCATATTTTATTCTATTTTTATTAATTTTGCTAATACATTAAGGTTTCAATTTGCAGAAAATATTTTCATTATGATCTTATATTATCAGAATTACCTTTATATTGAGAGAAATACTTGCAACATATTTACTTGTAGAAAGTGTTGAGATTAAATGCGGATGGTTGGGTGCAAAGATGGAGGAAGACCGAAGAAAGTGTGGATGCATTGTGTGAAACAGGATGTGTTTAAGAAAGGAGTGAATTCAGTATGACGGCTGATAGAAATATATGGAAGAGCAGCACACACTGTCCCGATCCTCAGTAGAGGCTAGGACAAGTTGATGATGATGGGAACATCAAAAATCATCTTTTTCATCCTACTCCCGCAGGGTCAGCGCAACAGGTTTTTGTCCTTCACATAACTCTATCATACGTCATCTCATCACTCCCTTTTTGATCATGTTACCTTTTACGCAATCCATCCATCTCTTTCTAGGTCTACCTCTACCGATGTACACTTCCACATGCATAACTAACGTTCTCCTTGTACCATGCGATTGTAACATGCGCTTAAAAGTGAATTGTTGGTATTTTCGGCTGGTAACAAATGTTACTCGAATATACCACTGGTTACCCTAAGCGGCACGTGCATAAAAACTGTCACGAAACATAAATATCTGGGTTACTTAATCTGGCTTACTGCGACCCAAACAGATGATAATGATATCGAAAGGGAACGTAGGGCGCTGTCCGTGAGAAGCAACATGATCATCAGGGGGTTTGCAGCGTGGTCGAAAGATGTAAAGCTAACCTTGTTCAGCGAATATTGTCATTCTTTTTACACCTGCAATTTATGGTGCAAGTTTAGCCAGCGCGCGTATGTACATCGCCCTACGTGTGCAATATAACAACGCCTTTAGGGCACTGTTGGGGCTGCCGCTCTACTGAGCGCGTCGGGGATGTTTGCGAAAGCGCGGGGGGACGGCTTTGCCGCGATCCGGCGCAAGCGCATAGCATCCATGATGGCGCGTGTGCCCGGCAGCCGCAACACTATGCTGAAGGTGGTGGGGAGCCGCATAGACAGCCCCGTCTATAAGCACCGGGTAAATGTCCATGTGCACTAATATAATTATAAGTAATCTAATTTATATGTCTAACTTAGACTAAGTCAAATTTACTAACAAAAGAAATGGATGTATATATGTAAAAATTATAATAAATAATAAAAAAAAAATAACTTGCCCATACCATGCTAACCTTTTACTACTTAGCTTCTGTACTACTGGGGCTACTCTTAAACTTCCTCTAATATACTCATTACGTATCCTATTCATTCGTGTTACCCGGAACATCCATCTTGTATGTAGTCTCCTTTTATCCGTTTCTTTTACCCCATCCTTAGACTTAGACCCATACTTCATGACAGGTCTTACGAGGGCCTTGTAAATTTTCCCCTTTTAGTGTAATTGGAATTTGAGGGTCGCATATTACTCCGTTGACCTGTTTGCCATTGCATACATCCCGTTTTTATTCTATTTGTCTTGTCACGGTCAATGTCGCTGTCGCTTTGGATTAGTGAGCATTAACATGTTTGTTTAAAATATTTTAGACAATGTTTATTGCGTGCGTTCCTTAGCTTCATCGTATTATTTCATCAACGCAAGCTTCTAAAGTGCAGCAACTGGACCAAGGTCAAATTTTTGTACTGTTTTGTAAAGACATTAATCGATAGAGAATATATTACATTATACTAGCTTTCTGCCGCGACTCCGTCCGCGTGGAATTAAAAAAAAACAAAAGCCAGTAGCCTATGTGTTCTTCCAGACTCCGAGATCAGAGATCCGTTCAGCCGGTTAGTCTACAACCTCTAACAAACATCCTTCCATCCATCCATATCAACTTTCGCATTTATAATATTAGTAAGATTAAATATGGGTATAAAGATTGAATATGAATATTCATGACTAGTTATTAGTATTAAATAATTTGAATATAATGTCAATAATAAATTCAACTATGGTTTAGTAACGAAATAGATACGTAGATAAAATCGTAAGGACGCACATATTCTAGAGATTTTCTGCGAAGCCGGTATAAAAGGCCGGACTTTGGGAAGCTTAACGCTTAATTTAGGTACCGTAATTTAAAAGTAAAAATGATGGCCAATTGGCCGTCGGACAGGCATTAACCTAAGTACGGTACCCTCGCCAGACTCTTATATAACAAAATCTACTCGCACTTAATTTTAAATGTTTATAGCATAGAGCATATTGTAGACCGAATATTATTATAATTTTTTTCTGAATTGTGAATAGTTTTTGTAATGTTTTACGTTTGTGTGTACTGTTATTTACATTTTAGTAATAAATCCTAACTAATTACAATTACGACAATATTGTATAGATAAAAAGTTAAAACTCGTATGTCTTTAAAATTAGGTTACTTATGCAATGATATAAAAAACAACTTTGACTGATAAACGTACATAGAAATGTTCGTTTTGCAGTCTAAGTTATTTTTGAAACTACTGGTTATTTTTGATGCAAATAGAAATTTGCATCATTGCAACACTGTTTGCTTGAAAACATGCTCTTCATTATATTATTCTTATATAATAGCATAGAATATATGCTTTTGTTCCCAGTATTATTACAACTACTATCCAACATGCTTGATAAAATTTAGTAACTTAATGAGGTCCAATTAATATTTTCGTCTCAATCAAATCGTCGATAGACAATATGCATATGACGCCCAATTGGAAAAAACTTTTTTTAAGTATACTTTATTACTGTTAAAACATACAATGTTATTTAGTGGTGAAATTTAATCATTAAAAAGTGTATTTTTTAAAATTCCCTCTATAAGTTCTAAAACGCTACGCTATTGGACAAAGCAAGTTTATCAATTATGGCGTCGCTGTGTTGTCAATACACAGTTTATTTACGTTAGTTTATATGGAAATTCACTTCCTGAAGTATTTTACTGAAAACACGATATCTTTAAATTAAAAGCAAATAAAAAGAACCATTAATTACCACTTATCTGTACTACGAATAATGAAAATGAATCGGTTTTTGACTATTGATAACACTGAGAACCAATGAGATACTTTGTTGTTTTTTACATCGAAGTGACATCTGAGCGAATGTGATGGATGAATTGAATGAAATGGGACGATTAACGTCACGTGTCTCACGCTAACTCTAGTCGCGTTTTAATCGCACGAAAATAATCGCAGTTTTTTTTTAGGTCAATGATTGAATATTTTTGAGCCATTTTTTTTTCTGGTTAACTCATAACAAGTAGAAACTTAAAAAAAAACATGCATATTTCCTATTATAGCTTTACTATGACACTCAACAGCATTGTATCTGGGTCACTTAGGAGAATCCTAAAAAATCGAAAACTAACAATGTTCAGCTCAATTAAATATCCGATATCTAATAGACAATACTATACTCCTTAAATTAATATTTTTAAGTCCCTACCTTTTTTTGATTAAAAATTACATAAATGAAAACACTGCTGACATCGCCTTAATAGTAAAATAAAAACTTGTTTTTTGTACAACGATATGATTATGTTATTTCTTCATATCTTTATTCTCTTATTTTTATATATAATACATTTCACATGATTTTCTTAAAAAAATAACAAAATACAACATATTATATAAAAAAATAGTAAGTCCACCGGCTGCGGAATCCGATGACTCAAGCAACCAGTGGTCAGGGCTGCAGAGACAGGAACCTCCTCACTAGTCGTGCGGTTTCTAAAATAACCGCCTTTTGAATCGGGCCCTTAATCCAACTGTCTAGCGAGAGCTTCTTGAGGTGTTGGTCGAAGCTCTTCGCTATCAGCCCGTGTGCCGAAACGACTATCGGAATAATGGTAGTCGATTTCATACGCCACATGGCGGTAATCTCGTGAGCCAAATCCAAATATTTTAATAGTTTTTCATTTTCGGCTTTCACGAGATTCTCGTCATGTGGGATAGTGACATCGACTAACATTACACAACTCTCAGACCGATCTATTATTACTATATCAGGTCTATTGGCAGCAATAGTCCTGTCCGTAATAATAGATCGGTCCCAGTAGATCGTGATACGGTTATTTTCCAGAACTGGTGTAGGCTGATATTGGTAATATGGTACCTCAGACTCCACAAGAGCATATTTAAGGGCAAGTTGCTGATGGATAATCTTGGCCACTTGGTTATGTCTATGCAAGTATGCACCGTCCGCAAGGCGAGAACAACCGGAAACGATATGTCTAATAGACTCACCGGGCCGACGACATGCCCGACAAATGTCAGTCGTACCATCCTTTAGGATATGTTTCCGGTAGTTATTCGTTACGATGACTTCGTCCATGATTGCAAAGACAAAACCTTCAGTCTCCCCAAAGAGGTTACTGAAGCGCAGCCAAGCCACGGAGGATAATTGGTCCACATCAGGACCTGTTAAGGCCCGATGGAACCTACCGTGTAGCTCCTTGCTCTTCCATACACTTATGCGGTCTGAGACACTTAATACCTCCAACCTCCGCCAGTTCGTGGTAGCCAGGGAAAGCGGCGTGAGTCCTTTGTCTATGGCTACAACATCCTTATACATCTCCACGTTAACCTTTAGGAAATATTCCCTAAGATTGTACACCTCGCGGTTATGGAGGGTCTTGGCATTTAAGTAGCCACGACCCCCGTGCTTCCGCGGGATGTACAACCTCATTACAGATGAACGTGGATGATGCATCCGATATGCTGTCAGCAATCGACGGACTTGTCTATCCAAGGCATCCAGCTCTGTTTGAGACCATCTCAGTATGCCAAAAGAATAGGTTAAGACTGGCATGACCCAGCTGTTAAAAGCACGGCATTTGTTTCCGCCTGATAAAAGACTTTTCAGTACTTTTTTCAGGCGACCAAGAAACCGTTCTTTAAGCAGCTGTTTCATGCTTTTGTCATTAATGCCTAATGCTTCCGACATACCGAGATATTTGTAGTTTTCATTCTCGGAAAGAGATACGAGAGACACATCTTGAGTAAGCTGTAAATTCTCAGAATTTACAACCCTTCCCCTTTGTACATTGATGACCGCACACTTGTCAACGTCTTGTCTTGATTATGTTATTATTATTATGTTAGTTGTAGGTGCCGCCACCTACAACCCAATCGCGCTCGGTAAATTTCGACGTGATCATCGCAGACCTAGGCACGTTCTTGACTTTCAAGACGATGCAACAACAATCGCTCAGGCTAGGATTAAACAACTACGACAGACAAAACGCCGTAGTCGCTGTTGACTACGGCAATCATTCCCGCGATACGGCCTCATAGCAGGCAGGTTCTCTCCTATCAATGATAGAAGCGTTGCTGGAGTTTCTTCCGCCACTTCTTCTCCCAGCGCCAACGCTTTCCGAAGTGTTAGTAATGTTAGATGTATTAATAATTATAATAATGATCAGATAGCAGCAACCGATCAAATCGAGGTTCGGCCCTCTCGGGCGCCCTTGAATCGGAATGCTAAACGCGTATTGAGTGACAGCCCAAGCCGAGGTCCCCTCTCGGGGACCCTTGTGCTAAGTCACTCCATGGAGCGACCACCGAAGCGATCTAAGAGCTCGGTGGCCTCCCAATCCGGTAATAATAACGAAGTAACGGCCCGAGCCGAGGCTCCTGAGGGAGCCCTCGAGCCTAGTTACTCATAAAAGAGGTTTAAGCTAAGCGCCATCCACGCTGGGCCACCTCAAGCCCGGTGAATCTGTAAATGCCTCTTCAAGGCAAACAGTGACAAATCAGTCACAACAAAAACAAAAAGAAGGAGAAAGATAGAAATTTAAATCCATAATTTAAGAGGTATTTGATTGTCTAATAAATGCCGTTTTTTTTCACTAAGCTATCTTTCTTAGTTTACGAGATGTATAGTTATTTGTGACCCGGATTCAATGCTCTTGAATGTATTTTTGACCGACTTCCCAAAAGAAGGAGGTACTCAATTCGTCTGTACATTTATTTCTAACAGGCTCTTAGGTTTGTATATACTAAAAATAACCAAATATTTCCTTGAAAATAGTAAACTTAACGACAAAACGTACGAAATCGTACGTAACGTACGAAATCCCTTATTGTAGCTTTTATGTCTATATTGTACAATTATTATTACTTTGAATCTATTTTAAAGTTACTATACTTTCAATTGTCAATTGTTATGGTAAAAATGTAGAAAGCCTTCCGTAGAAATATCACTGCATACCTCAGCTGACACCGGCTTCAAAGTGTATAAGTGTACCATATGTAGTAGACATAACAGCTAAAATAAGGGATGTGTACTATTTGCAAGTAACTATTTCGTTACTTTTTAGTTTATTGTTCTTTAGAATATTTTGTTTTTAGTGTATTTTGTTTGGAAGTCGGTTTTGATTTTTTATAATTTAGTGTAACAGAGTTTTTTTTTTACTTATACAATAGTAAATAAGCTACTCTTCAGATCTTAATTTATACATAATAAAAAATAAACTTGTTTATTCCTATACTTGTTACAAATTAACTAGTGGGTTAACGAATTAATCTGTAACAAACGTATACATTTATTTGTCATAAAATTGGATTCTTACGTTAGTATACTCACCAGGTTGTAAAAAGAAGGTTGGTATGCGAGAGTTCCGCACGGCTATCCTCTCCGGTCCGATTATGAAGTAATCGTCATTGTTAAAGCTTCGTTGTCCAGACAGTGTGTACGTTATGTTGCTCTCAACGTCTTCTGTAATAGATAATTTTTAATTTTATTAAACGATGCTATGTTAAAATTCAGCATTTTTGTATGTGTGGCTACAGTAATATTTTATAATAAAGTAGGAAATTATAATAGCGAAACATTAAATCTTTGCTTCGTTCGTGTTCTGTCAATATTCGCAAATGGGCGCCTAGCCAAAGATTCGATCAACGATAATTTTTATGCCGTTGTGTGTCAATAATTGCTTACATACTTATTTGCTACAATTTACCTAAAGTCATTTAACTAGACATACCGAACAAAATTATTTCACAGGTGTTTTCTTTGAAAGTTACTATAATATGTTAGTTGTCAAGTTTAGTAAGCCACTTCATGACCTTGCATTTTCATGTTATAAAACATTTCACAAATTTTTAATAAGGTCTATCTTTTGTTATAAAATAAACTAAACAGAGTCAAAAAATAAAATACATACAATATTTATTCACAACTTTTGGCATTTCATTTAAATACAATTAACTATATTAAGACTAGCTGTTGCCCGCGACTTCGTCCGCGTGGTATTAGAAAACATACGAACTATATAAATAACAAAAAGCTACGTATCCCTCGGGAACCGGACATTTCTCGGGGATGAACCTTATCTTATGTACTCCAGACTTTGTTCTTTTATCTCTGCTTACGATTTCTATTATTCTGTATATGAGCGCTAAGTAAGACTATTTCTATTATGTTAAGACTATTTCTTACCTAACTGTCTCAAGAGAGTGCATTGCTAAAAGTTTGCCACAAAGATTCTTAAAATATAGAGGCTTCTAACCGACAAACGAAGTCTGGGGTATTTCCTAGTTACGTTATAAGGTGCAAGTACTTCCTTTACAATTTGCGTTTTCGTTTTCAAAAGGAAAGAATTTCCCTTTAATGCGGACATATTACCTTGCTGATAACCCTAAATGCTCAGGGGCACTATAATTGACATTGACAGCTATCATAGGGAGGGCACATGCAAGTCCATCGTCCTAGAGATTTAGCGTTGCAACGCTTCACCGGCACGGTATTGGTTTTCTTGTTAACAGTCGAATTTAAAAATTCGAATTCAGATTTTAATATTGCTCAACAGCGCTCTGTAGTATAAATAAATATTAGACAAGTAATATACACTTACGCATATCCATAGTCATGGAGGCAATGAAGGGAGTCGCAAGTTGTGCCATGCTCATTGTCAGTTCTCCAGTAACGTGCAGATCGCTGAGGAATTTGACACTGCTCTTGCTGCCGAACGGCCTTAATCTGTTTAAAAATTCAAATTAACAATTAGTTATTATTAAAATCTACATATGTTCCTCCACCGATATATAAACTTCTATTATAATTTGTAATTATACTACCGTTTCCTGATATTTATTTATCAAAAACAACCATCAGCATTGTTCTGGTCTTCCGTGGGACTTGTCATTTATATGGAATCGTCACAAAACGTTTTCGTCCACCATCTATCTATCCATTTGTCTCATGCTTCTTAACTAACGGCCGGTCTCAATATGCATTTTTTTCAATCGAAAATCTCAATCCGTATCCTAATCTTTTGAAATACTGTCTCAATAAACGACCGAACGATAGAAATTCGATCTAAAAACATGACTAATCTATCGGAGGGAAAAATCTGATTTCTAACACTTTTCGGATCGCCCTCTGTTTGAAAGTGACAGTTGCAGTGTTTCAATAAATGTTTTTGGAATTTTGACATATCTCTCAATCTTTATTTTACAATCTATGGAAATCGGAAGATTCTACTAATTTATTATGAGATTAAAAAATGGTTGGCTTGTTGCCGTATAGTGATAGCTGATAGTGAAAGTGATTTGGAAGTGTTAGAGCAACTTTCAGACTGGGACGAAGAAGAAATGCATTTAGGGCGATGGTAGTATTTCAAATAAAAACTTTGCGAAAATCAAGCCTTTATATTTATTACAAGAATACAGTTTTTATATTTGTTACAAAAATAAAGTTTTTAATTATTACAAAAATAGTAGTACAGTAAAGTAAACAAACAACAACAAACATTGAATTTTTCGCTTATCCGAGTCCACTCTTCATTTTTCAATTTATTCGTGGTAGCATTAGTCAATCATCAAGTCAATTTAATTTCACTGCTTTCAATGTACGAAAGCAGTGTTTTCGTGTCCTCCTTCGTAAGAGGCTTGCTTGAGGTCTGGAAATAATAAGAAATTACTATGTAAAGGGTTTATACAAATTAGGCGCGAATTGAAGCATCTTCACGGGGGAAGTTTATTGAAAAGTGTAGAAAGTAAAAATATGTCAAAAACTCAATAAAAGTATACATACCATTGCACTTACACTTTCGATGATAAATATTTAATTGTTTATCAAAAAACACGAATAGAAGCTATATAAATTTCAAATTAATAGCTGATGTAAATAACATTGACAACTGATGTCAAATGACATTGACAGATAATGTATTCCTCTGATTACGATCTCGTACCGCTACCAAAACTCCGAAAAGGGAGTATTCGTTGATGACAATTTGCTTGGAACATGTTGAAACACGTTTTATTCGTAAAATACGCAACAAATTAATAATTAGTTAGTACGTCAAAACCCAAAAATGTTCATATTTTCTTAAATTCATCAATAGGTTTACAACACAGTCATAATGACATCTGCTTGAAATGGAACGCCAGGAGGGAACTTCACAAAGTACATCGATACCGCTTATCCATTTTGAAAATCGGTTGATGTTTGCTATCCGGTGTTATTGAGACACCGGTTAGTGATCAACCAGCAGGTCGTTTTATTTCTCGATTGAAGCGATCTCCCGATCTAGGATGCGTTATTGAGACCGGCCGTAAATGTGTCATTTTTCCCGCAATCCATCCGTATTTTTGTCTTATAATTCTATATGCTATGACTTTGTTGGCCTATGTTACGTATCGTTCTATGTAGTTTAGTATTTCTTCAACTTTATTACACAATTTATACTCATAATAAAGTGTAAACACATACTACTTCATGACGTAGGATGTCAGCAAACACAGCATGTTTTTGAATAACTATTTATTTAATCGTTATTTATTTATTAAATCAGTCTCGAGTTTGGCCTGAAGATCAACCGCAGCAAGACTAAGATTATGATTATTGACCGCATTAATAACAACTTACCAGACATCGCAAAAATCGCGAATTGTTCAGTTGTAAATTTTATAATTACCTGCGGATGAAGCCGCATGGAAACAGGTAGTTTATAATTAAAGTAAAGTAACTAGGTAAAGTAATAGACAAAAAAAATTGTTACCAAGACGAAAGTTTCTGTGCTGGCAGAAAAAGTATATTTTGCCTCAGGGCTGGATAATTGATAAGTTTAATTATAAATAAAAAGGTTTCTCACATTCTATCAGCTAACTTGGTCCATTTTGCACCGGTGATGTTGATATTTCTGAGTAAGATCGACACCCCCTGTTCGGGCATTGCCACTACCACGCTGTTGACTAATGCGGGGTCGACTGGCAGCATACCCATGTGACCGGACTCCATTAAAAAGAAGAAAGTTCGCAGCCCCCGTCGAAGACATGGTATGTCAACCGCGACACATGTCGGGAATGGCAAAGGCGCTGGTGCTGTAAAATAATTAAAAAAAAATATTTCAAACTAACTTATTATTAACTGGATTAATAGTTTTTGAAATCAGCTTAGTACTTTTTAAATTATTTCAATACGTACAATAGTCTAAAAATACATATCTTTCCTCTTTATTATATTAGTTTTTTTTTACAATGAGGTGGCAAACGAGCAAACGGCCACTTAAATCCGCCAAAATGGCGAAGCGACCGCTGCCCATAGGCATCCGCAATTGCAGATGCGTTGCCTACTCTAAACCGACGGAGGAGGAGACGCACATAAATAGGATATTTCCCCTTCGTATGCGTCTCCTCCAACGTCATATCCACTTTAGTATAGTATAATAATATACATAGATTCGTTGTACGTACTGTAAAGGATTGAAACAACTACGTAAGTTTTACTATCCATATTATTTAAGAGTAGTAGATTAACATAGTTTTTAGTCTTTATGCACTAAAAAGGACTTTTCTAAAGGATCATTAAAAGAAATGACTGCTTCACGAGGTTTAATTTTTGAATCAGATCAGGTTTTATTTAGAAACAGCGTGAGAACATCTAAGAATTTATAATTCAGGTTGTACATTATATATATCTGATATTTTTTAAAGCTCCTTTGCTGTTTAATCGGCTTTAAAGATTAACGATTTAATGATAATGTCTGCCTATCTACAGGTTGTTTCTTAACGGCAGGCTTTGTGGTGTTAGAGGACCGCAATAGCTATCGTTTAAACGCATAGTATGTTTCCCGATATCCTGCAGTTTTAATGTTATTAGTTTTTGTAAAAAAAAATTAAAAAAGATATCCGACTAAAATTTGCCTGTCCTTCCAAAATAATGTGTTTATATTGGTCACTTTTTTTATGAACAAACCAAATAATTGGGTTTTAGTACCGTTTCCCCGTTTTTTGGATCATCATCATCATCATCACCAGCTCACTATACGTCCCCACCAAGGGGCTCGGAGCCTACCCTAATAAGGGGTGACTAGGCCATAGCCACGACGCTGGCTAAGTGCGGGTTGGTTGACTTCACACATATCTTTGAATTTCTTCGCCGATATGTGCAGGTTGCATTACGATTTTTTCCTTCACCGTAAGAACGCCGGGTAAATTATGTACATATAAAAATTCGAAAATCGAAAATCACATTGGTACATGACGGGATTCGAACCCAAGACCTGTAGATTACAAGGCAAGTGTTCAAACCACTGAGCCACCGACGCTCGTTTTTTGGATAACTCACACGAAAACAAAATACTAAGAAAATATTGAAATTTATCTTAAAATAAAATTTCTTTCTTTAACTTTGCGAAGCTGTAATTTTTTTTTATCCTAAAATTTTCTTTAAAAATTTTGTCAAACTTGGCGCACATGCAGATAGGATAGAAACAAAAAAATGTTTTTGTCCTTCGTTTGTTTTTCGTGTTAAAAGAAGGATTTGAAATAGTCGACAATCTCTTGTAATTTTCATACAAAACATATGAAAACTGTATCATTCCAAGAAGGCTAAAAAGTAGAATTTTATCCATGTTCATTAAAACATTACATGAAATGTATAATTAATTTGTCAAACTAATAGTTGTAAGGACTATGGCATAAAATTAAACTTGTGGGAATGTGAACATTTATCAGAATACGATATATGACTGCGTGCAGAAACAAATTTGAAGTGCAAAAATAAATATAGAACATACTAAAGTTATACGCATTAGACAAGTTTTCTGCGTTTAAAAAAATAATAATTTAGCTCTGCGAAGCGTCAAGTGTCTTTGGAAGAGCCAAGAGGGGTCAAAAGATATGCTGAATAAATTAACTATTACTGCGGCAAGTAAAATCATAATTCTTCATCTGATGCGGCAACGGGCCAAAACGCGTCCCCAATAATATTTCTGCCAGTGCGTGGCAGGTCTTTCTAGACCAAACAGAACTAGGATAGATTAAATGGCTATAACTTTTGTAAAACATAATGTACACATTTTATGTAATGTAATGTATACACCTGAGATAATCGATCCGCACTAGCGAGAGGGACATAGTTTTCTTCGTCCGCACCAGCTCAATTACCGCGTCAGGCCGATATTGGCCTGTTACGCAGTGAGCGTGTTAATACTTAATAGGAGTAGTGAATTCTCAGAAACATAACGGTTATTCTGTAGGATGATAATAAAATTATTTTTAGAAATTGGAACAATAGAAGTCCAGAGTCAGTCTTGTCAATCAGGTTAAACGAGCTTTGACGTATTTTTATCGCAATCTAATGTTTAATAAATCATTAACTAATGCAAGGTAGGAAACCCAGCATGTTGGTAACCAGTTAATTATTGTGTTAAGATTTAAAATCGTTACTCATCGCTCATTATCGCATATTACTCGTATTTTTATCGATAATGATGTTGCTTTAATTATTGTCCATAGGCAATTAAAATTACGCAGTCCTATAATAGTTTTTCTTTCGGATTATATCCATATTGAGCTTTTTAATGAGTTTTGTCGCCATTGATCAAGTTTAACTCAAGTTTATTACATTTGACAATGATCCTATAAAAGTAACATGTAAAACCAGAATTAATGTATGCAGAGACAGAAATAACATGTAAAGCCTTACTTAATAATACTAATTATAATGTAATTATTACAATTTCAGAGTAAAATTTTACATTGAATAGTGAAAATGCTTAATTTAGCAGACCATTTATAATTCTTCGAAAGTTAAATTATTATTGTTATAAATAATTTTTAAGTTAAATAAAAACATATTGAAACTTCAGAGGCGAGGATTTTTATAAAAGGACTAAATTAAGTGGATATATCTACAAAAGGAACTGACGATTTCTAGTAATCGCTCGTTCCTTTGCCACCTTATCATAAAAACAAACTGAAACTTGGTAGATGTGACTTTAGACAAGGAGCTAAACATTTCAAAAAGTACTCTAGCAGAATAATAGGACTAATATCCTTAACCACTTGTAAGCATTGAGGTTATGAGCATACGTGGAGGTACAATTTTAATGCAAAGAACGCTCTATTATGATCTCATACCTACATTACAAACATAGAAGGGCTTGAAGCAAAGGCCATACTGATGTAGCAATAGCATGGAATGAACTATGCTACGACTTGCGAAAGCTTAATAACCATTAACTCTTAAACCAATAAAGGCAATGAAAGTAATATTTTAGTTCAAATTATTAATTACTAGCTTTCTTCAGCGAATCCGTCCGCGTGGAATAAAAAACAAACGTATGTTCTTGACTATGTGCTCTTCCAGATTGTGCTTTAAATCTATGAAAGATTTCATCTGTTCAGCCATTTAGGAGATATCTTTTAAAAACATATGCTTATCCAATCATCAAATAATGCTAAGTGTATTGAATTACGATTTACTATAAAAAAAATCATAAAAGGTTTATGCTATACAATGAAACGAAACAAAAATTGCTTCAAAAACTTTGTTGCGAAAGCTTGTCTCACCATCATCAACTGGTACAAGATCTTTAAACTTTGATATTTCAATGGAAAGGAACGTATTTGTGTAATCTTCGCGAACTCGTAGCTTTAGAATACACTAGTGTCAAAGATGTACATATGAAAATGTCCTCTAAACACAATGATCATGCATGTTTCCAGCGGTTATAGTGACAATGGTGGGAACCGATAAATCAATTTTTTTGACCCTTGTCATAGTCACATATAAAATTATCTTTTAATTTGGTTTTTACACTGAACAATGGAAAGCTTTAATAGATAATATGAAGAATTTCAAAGCTTGAATAAATGCAGCTACTACTATTAGGGATTACTTAATAGCAAATTAAATAACACAACTTTAACTTGGTAAACTCGAGATGTGTCTTTGAATTGTTTAACTCCGTGAAATTTTATCTTTATATATAAATAAATCCAACGACAAACGTCAAAATCACGTTCAGAAGGAAGATTTTATTTGTGCTAGATAAGAGGGAACTCCAGTGTGAGCGTTCTTTATGGTATAAAATTAATAAGATTTTGGGACCCGGCTTTCACGCGAACTTCGGATTACGCTCACTTGTATATTAGTACCTTATTCTCTTCTCAGTATATATCCCATTTTCAAGTAGTGATATATCTTTGTTTTTGTATTGGTGCATGCAGTGTATTTTTATCGAATAAGTTGTACATTTATGCATTTCAATTCCATCTTAGCTTCAGAATGTATATACATACATATACGAGTATACTGGCAATTTATGTTCAACCACATACCGTTCTCCACACATCTGTAAAAGTCTGAGATTAGTATTCTACATTTTAAAACGTTGTCTTGCTTCCGAAACACTAAGACGTAAAGCATTTCATCACCTTACATCAATTGAAATCCTCATCGGTAATAGCTTGTATTGGTTGTGTTCACAACTCGAATTTCATAAACAAGGTTAATATCGACTTATACTGGACTTATTGATTTACTAAACAATTTACTTTAAGTGCTTACCATAACACTCTAAAAATGTTTTTTTAAAAATAGTAGGTAGCAAATTCAGAATATATCTGGAGCGTGTCCTACAATACGCTAAATTAAAAAAAAAAACCTTTCAGAATTGCTTTTTGCTAAAATAGCTTTTTTAACTCGCTTATAATTTTATTAGATTAATATTCGTCATACCCTTTGTATGCAAGGATGAAAACTTAAAAACAGTACTTCATGGATTTTTTAAAATCACACAAGTTTCATACAAAAATGTATGTAACATTTACCTACCTACTCTAAATTAGTTGGCAAATGTTTTTTTTATGAAATAATACCATTCTCTTTATGGTTGTTGGCTGTTTAGAATTTAACTGTATGTCGAAAATTTATTACCCGTGGACACAGCCGGTGTAAGCGACCGGCCACATTAACTAAAATCATAAAGGTCTTTCAAATGTACAATTTACTCACATTACTCAACACCTGCACTGGTATAAAGAATGTTAAAAAGTGTTATTAAGTTTTGAGTCTATTTCGTTAGTCCCATACTTATCGAAACAGATTTTTTATAAATATTTTGATAAAACATACTTTAAATGTTAGGGTCGTAGGTCGAAAGTTAGTAAAGAAAAATAAAAAAGGAGTAAATACTTTAAATGCTAGCAGACGGCTGCTAAACTTGGGCCCCCACATAAGAACACTAAAACATCACAACAATATAAAAACTCAAATGGCGATAGACGGGACACACTTTCCGCGAAGCAGGCTAATGGAGTAAACTCATAAATTAATGATATCCAAAAAGCGGTAAAATCGCGGAAGACGATGAAGTTTGAAGAGAACTCAAACGATGGGAAGGTGACATAAAAAAAGTAACAGGATACCAGGTCTAGAAAGGCTAAATGAAGGGAAGAATGAAGAATTCGGAAGAGGCCATGTCCTAGGACAAACAGATAACCATACAAATTTAATAAAACAAAATAAAAAGTGACAATATTTTAATTGATTTAATGTAATTCAATCTTATCTTACTAATATTATAAATGCTAAAGTTTAGATGAATGGATGGATGGATGTTTGTTAGCGTTTGTAGCCTAAACGGCTGAACGGATTTCCATGAAATTTGGCACAGGTTTAGAGCATAGTCTGGAAGAACACATAGGCTACTTTTTATCCCGGGATAAGTTACGGTTCCCGTGGGATTCATTAATTTAGTTTTTTAATGTTTACTCGATCATTCTGCAACGGTTCAACATATCTTATTGAAATTTGGCACAGATGTAAAACAAAGTCTGGAGTATACATGGGATAAGCTTCATCCCCGAGGTGTCCGGTTCCCGAGGGATACGTAGCTTTTTGTTATTCATATAGTTCGTATGTTTTGTAATACCACGCGGACGAAGTCGCGGGCAACAGCTCGTTAATTATAATTCGAAGTTTCAATTTAATTTACATTATTTGAAATCAATTATCTGAATAAAAGCTTATTTTTTTAACTGTTTTGTTTTCGTCTGGTCGGCTTTTATACATATACTGGCATTTACATATCTATTGGTAATTTGACGCGTCCCCGTTGGGAGGTGAGAGAGGGGTTTGTGATAATTTTGAAAATCCCTTATTATTACTATAAATGTTAGGGTTGGTTTGATTGCAGTGATAAGGCGGTGATTAATGTTTTAAGCATACCACATTATGTAAGCTAATATTTATCTTTGCAAATATAACAATGTTCATTTTTTGCATAATTTTTAAGCCGTAAAAGGGATATGGCGTTTGAATATTTCGTAATAATATATTATGGCCTTTTGTGGAGGCTTTCATGTCGTATTTATCTTTTCATGAATTTAAAATTACATACTGGGAAATGGGTAGTACAGGTTTTATTAACAAAGTATTAATATTAATAGAATAAAATAAAACTTTGGTTAAAAAAATGTCAAATATGTCATTATAATTTAAGGTTTCACGGTTTTATGTTCTCTATTTCCTTTTCACATAACATCACATTGAAAGTTAATTAAATCATAAATCTCATATTTTACACATTACATATAAAACTTTTGTTTTTCAAATGAGTAGAGATTAAAAATAGGTTTTGAAACAAATAGATAAAAACTTACTAGGTGCGTAAAGTTTCGTAAAATTAAATGGAAATTGAGCACAGCAACATTTAACATTATAAAATACACCGAGCGAAAGGATCAACGAACGTATGCTTTGCACTAACATCATGCCAGAACTACAGTGAATTGTGAGAAAGAGGACCTGACATTAACACAACTTTTATAATACCGTTATTAGATTGTGACACATTGATTCTGTTACCTTTGACTTTTATGATGTTTTTCCCAGTGCTTCAATCACCTTGAATTTCTACTACCAACCATACTTACTTTACTAATATAATATATTATATAAACACACACTACTTTGTGTCGTAGGATGTCAGCAATCGCAGTATGCTTTGGAATAACTCTTTAATAAAGAGCCCTCACTAACTAAGGGGGTAAACAATTTGGAAAAACCTTTCATTTGGGAAATAGACCATAAACTACAAGCTACCAAAATTAAGAAGCAGGGTTATTATGATAACGGCAATTTTGACATTTGCAATTGAGAATTTGACAAATGTAAACAATAAAACATTTTTTTAAAATTTCATGTGGATATAAACTTGAATAAAAAAAGACACTTGAACCTAATACTATAAAATAATGCTTATTAAAGCCCAATTTTTACTACAACGATTAGAACGTGGTTATCTACAAAGAATTACGCAGTCAATTTTAATGTATTTTTAATTTTTGCATTGTTTCAATTTTGTTTTATGAATAGCTTACTTTATAATATGAATGCTTATATAAAAAAATCTTTCATTTGACATTCTAATCAAGACGTGAGGCAATCTTGTTAATTAACATTTACTAAAGACAATAAGATGCAAACATCATATACACTATCGTACATTGGAAACACCTATTGTACTAAATAAAGGCAATCGGGAAGTTTATTCTTGTAGCTTAATTGCGTTTATTTATTTTAAAATTCCCTAAACATTCAATTTCTTATGCAAACAATTAAAATAATAAAAATACTTTATACTAAAAAACAAAGGTTTTGGAATATGAAGAAGATATTAAAAGGTTAAAAAGTCGCGTTTCCTATCTACGCCGCGCCGTTCCTATGGCCTCGCAATGTTTTAGATTAATTTATGATAGTGACTTTTTTTCTAAAATAATAACACACTAGTGCTTTTTTTTCCTGTTTTTATATAGACAGTTACAAAAAACATCAAGAAAGTAAGCTAACCAAAGCTGCAGAAGATTGAAGATCTTGTTTATTGAAAGTTGTTATTAAAATGATTATTACTGATTGTTTTCATATTTTACAAAAAAAAATATATACTTGGAAGAGAAATTACGCAACCCTGCTTTTTGACACACTTACTTAAACTTAATATTTTATAACAATATATTTATTTGCTTACCATTATGAAATGATTTAGTAATAATAAATTTAACGAACCATATCAAAATTATGAAATGTCTCAAAAGAATTCGTGCTGTTTCAAAATGCAAATGAATGGTTACCCTAATATCAAAGGTATGATACATAAACCTCAGCATTGTTAACAATACTTCAGGGCAATGATATTTCAAAAGGTTTAATATGTAATAAGATTATGATCTCCAAGTTTCTTGGTCAACGTACATATTTTTCAATTTCCGAGACGCGGTCGACAACAAAATAAATTGCTTTGATATTTTCAAAGGTACATGCGATAGGCAAAATCATCTTATATTTTTTTAACAGTGGTAGAGCCCGCTTTATCATCTTGGCACCAATAAGCCGGCTCGTCTGGTTCGATACCATGACCATATAGAAGATTGATGTAAAGTGGGAACAATTCCGCGTTTCGTCTGGTGAGTGTGCATGCCGGAGGCCTAATTTTAGTCTCCTTCCTTTTCCAACTTTTTCTATAAGGAAATGACGGGAAGGGAAAGTGGGTCGCCTGGGAAGGGGAAACATCTTTTTATGTTCGTCTTCTCTGCCGATTAATTAATTAATAAAAATTGGCGCAAGCAGGCGGTTAAAATCCTTCATTTACTCCAAGCAGTTGTAAAAAAATAATGAAACTTGCATTTATAAATATGTGAAGTACGAACATAAATTACTTCGACGAAAATAAATTTCTACGTAACAGTATTTTAAAACATAAAATAACAAAGTCGCTGTGTATCAGATTGCTCTGTCAAATAAAACGTACCGTGGGGAATAAGAACATAATCATTGACAGTAATTAAAAAAATAATAATATATAACAGTATCTATTTTTGCAATTTAAAAATATTTAAATTTCCAATCTTCAAATACAATCTTGATATACTACTCGTATTTAGACGTAAAACATGCATGTGAACACGTTGTCCCATTAAGATGTCATTTACCTTGTAGATTCGAAACTCAGTCTAAAATTTATCCCTAGAGCTAAAATCTTTTTGATACGAATAAGATGATTTGTCTTTTGTATTTATCAAATTATTATACTCGTAGGATAAAAAGTATAAGTACAACATGGACAGATATAACATTAAGACATCTAACATTTCACACAAAAACACCTAAGTACGCTCAAATGTAATAAAGATAATTTAATACAGGCTGTCGCCTGCGACTCTGTTCTCGTGGAATTAAAAATCATAAGTAAGTAGTTTTTGTGCTCTTCTAGACTATGCTCTACATGAATGCCAAAATTCATTAAGATCTAGTCACCAATTAAGGCTACAAACATTTATAATATTACTAGCTATCGCCCGCGACTCCCTCCGCGTGAAATTGAAAAAAAAATTGAGAAGCATATGTGTTCTTCCTGACTATAGTCTTTCGCATATATAATATTAGTAAGATAAGTATGATTAAGTATATATATATATGTGAAATATGTTTTTTAATTAATTTGATAATTTTATTTTTCTATGTAGATTATAAGCTAAGTTAAATATTGTCAGTTGATATAGTTACGGTTATTAAAACATCGATACAGCTTTAATACAAGTACTCGTACAATAGTTTACAATTAATATTACAATATTGTTGATCGAAAAAAAAATAGTGTACGGCAATATAATTTGAATTTTGCTCTTTGTAAACGATGTTTTTATTAATTAGTCGTTTAATAAATTCAAACTTGATAAATACTTACCCGAAAACTTGTGTTAATTACGAAGAATAGCATAACTCACCTGCATTCGATGGATAAGGTATTTGATTAAAAAACTGTGCACCACTTAATTGAATTTCGTACAATGCAAAAATCAAAAGGATTAAAACACGTACGCGAGTTAGAGACATCTCGACGTTACTAAAAAATTAAGAAAAAGGATCGACGACGTACCGGAGAACTTTTATACGCAAATACCAAGATTAGATTTTTGTTTTCAAAAAAGTACATTTGAGAATATAATTATATAAATCTGTCCTTTATTATAATACCCACAGAGTATTGATTGGAATGATTCTTTATTAGTGATTCGTTCCATATTGAATTTTTAAAACTATGTAAAATCGTCGTATTTATTAATCACTTCTTTGTACTTAATTATAATAGTAATAATATTTTACAAGTTAACATCGAAAATCAGACATTGTGAACGTGAATGGAACTGTGTATAAATTCAAAGATTGTGTGTAAGAATCAAGCAATCCGCACTAGGCCCGGTAATAAAGCCTAGACATCCCTAGCATGTTAACTAACAACAATGTTTTAATACAAAATAATGGTCGATTTATTAAAAAAAAAGGAAACTTTACCGGTATCATGACCGTTATAATTACTCGTACATTACTTAGGTCTGCCGTAGTGTCTAATGAAAAATTCGATATATATCCCGGCGCGACAGTTTGCCGCTCTGCCATTAATTGGGTCATACTCTCTCATCATTCACAATCTGAATCATAGCAGACTCGGCAAATATTTGCCGCAACTTTTCTATGACAGAGTGAGCTCGCGCTTGCTCATACGTTTATCACAGTAATTTCGAGGTTAATATGTATTATAGTCAAGTCTTTTAGTTATATGTCGGCTTTTTCACAAAACTGGCATAAACAGAACTCATTATGATAATAAAATTTCCATTTATAACCGTTCTAAAGACCAATAAAGCAACAGGTTTTCAGTCTATAAATCTTAAAAGAAAACGGTTTTTTTTTAATTAATCACTGGCGCAAAATTTATTCAACGATGACCACTATGAAAAGAATTTGGTAGCATAACTATGTGTCCTTTTAGTCTGAATTATTACTGTTATTAACGCTCAAAGTTATTCGATGATAAAATAAGAACAGCAGTAGTTATAAAATATTTTTGTAATATGTATTATTGCGTCTGATAAAAGCGCACATCAATACATGAGCGGCATAACATAGGATAGATTCGACGGGAGTGATACAGTTAGGTAATTAATTTAGAGGCGTAAGAAATTTATAACTACGTTCTGAAACGAAACTTTTACGTACTTAAATACTTTGAGGTCTGTTTCAAAAAGTCCACACAATGTATTTGAAACCTTAATTTAAAATTGCTGCAAGCTTTTACTTGTTTAAATATTTGCTTCCTTTGCATACATTTTTACTCGTTAAAGAGTATCTCAAAATATAGATAATATATGTACATATGTGTATTTCTTTGAATATCTTGCTTTTTAAGATGGCAATGTTTGCTACATTATTATATCAAAGTCGGAGGACGCTGCACCTTATCTCTCCGACCATAATTCCAAACGTGTCACTTTGTGGGATAAAGGATTGTGTATCTCACGCTTCTGTGTCGCAACGTTTCTTTTGTCCATAGTATACTGATCAAGATCACTGACATTTCTTGATATTTCTACTAGTTTTCGTTTCGATTCATGGGACTCGCCAGTCGCTGGGGCGGGATCGGACAGCGACGGAGGAATAATCAACAGAAATTAATAGTAAAAATCGTTCTTTATTCGAAAATAATGCTTATGAACATGTGATTCATTTTAATGGAAAACTGAAACGAGTGAAGTGACGAAAATTGTAAATTAAATTAAATAGTAACGCAATTCTTAACACGATAAAATTGGAAGTAGAATCGTGATGAAATAAAACAAGGAATTTCGAGCCGTTTAAGCTAAAAATGTGTCATAATTTTAAACCATTTATTTTACAAGCTAAAATCATTAAATAATAAAATCTCGAAGAACATAATTAAATTCGTCTCCTTTTAAAATTAATCAATACCTAATAAAACTCCGTTACGAAATCTTTATTAAATGTAAAAATATTTTTAGAGAGAAGGCTCATTGAGCCGATGTCAATAACCGGTCCTTGATTTGAAGATTAATCGTAAAACCAAAAAAAAAAATTAATAAAAAAACAAAACCGACTTCCAAACAAAATACACTAAAAACAAAATATTCTCAAAAAAAAAACAGTACTTACACTAAAAAGTAACGAAATAATTCTTTGATAAACCTCCCTTATTGTATCTGTTATGTCTATATTGTACAATTATTATTGTTTCTTTGTTTTTCATTGTATACGGTATATTAATTTGGTTGTGAACCTTGAACATGCAATTGGTGTACCTTTCCAATAAATAAATAAATAAATAAATTATTATTACTTTGATGTCGGTGTCAGCCAAGGTATGCAGTGATATTTATATGTAAGGGTTTCCACATTTTTACCATAACAATTGACAATTGTAAGTATAGTAACGTTTAAGTAATGAATCTAAATTGACTGACACCGACTTCAAAGTAATAATAATTGTACAATATAGACATAACAGCTACAATAAGGGAGGTTTAATATTTTGAAGGAATTATTTCGTTACTTTTTAGTGTAACTACTGTTTTTTTTGAGAATATTTTGTTTTTAGTGTATTTTGTTTGGAAGTCGGTTTTGTTTTTTTATTAAAAAGTTTATTTATTTCTCGATTTTTAGTGAATCTTAACATCGCAGTATGATAATCGCTAGCTTTCAAACAAAGTATGAGTTATCTAAGAAATTAAGTAAAGAACTAATACATCGTTGCGACCATTCACTCATAATTCTGTCCAGCCGCGGGCCGCTGTTGCCCGTGGGTTTTAATATTTTGATAACTTCTAGAAAATTAGTCAGAATTACATACTATAAAGGCAATTATGATCTACATTTAATACTCTATCGTGAAAACATATTTATTTGGATAAGGATTCATACCAAATAAGAATAAAAGCGTTTT